CCTCACCCAATGCCCCGCCAGGCGCCATACCCAAATCCTGAGCAGCTTCTCTCGCTGCCGGCCTGGGAGAAAATCGATCCTCATGCAAGGCCACTAAGCTGACTTCAGCATAAAAATTTACACCCATGCTCTCAATAAAACTTCGCTCCTCGTCGACAACATACGTACCATTTCTCACCCCGGATAATGAGTCGCTGGAGAGTTGCAAATACATGTTTGCTTTCCTCAGCTGCTGAGCTCAGGAGTTTCCTCACTAATTATACAAATTTACACACGAAATAGAGCAAACGTGCACTAAAGCTAACAAGAAATTTCAAGAATTTTCTCAAAATTTTTCCATTTTCCCACTGTGTGACACATGTACTAAGTGTGTCACCACCCAGCCACAAGACGATTCCCTCCTACCTCCCTTGATGATGAGTATCCACCGTCACTTCCCCTCCCTCGGGTGAGTCCACAACGAGCATTCTATTGGACATAGGCGTCATAGTGAACTCCCCATTGCTGACCAGCCCTCCCTTCGGCCGAGTCTTGAAAGCTACTGAGCCACCAACCGATTCATTGCCACGAGCGACAAACTTCTTTTTAAGACGGTCACGAAGAGTCGCCAATTGCAAAGGCTTCGACGATAGCAATAAGCCTGGACGACAGAGAATCTGAAATTCCATGAACTCTTGAACTTGAATATGCATAAGACGATGACCATGTAGTGTTCACCTCTTCCGCCGCAGCAGCCTCCTGCTCCTCTTGAGATTCTCCTACCACCACCCCAGACTCCCCCTCAGAATCCTTCAAGACCGTCCCAATAGGCTCGCCACTTGCCGTACGGGAGGGAGCGTCCGTAGAATCGGCCGCTGATGTCAATGCCACTCGGCACAGAGCCACTTTAGCACAGGACCTGTTGAGTGCATCTAAAATGAACAAACACATGAGTGTTCATATTATGATATATGGCGGCCTACCAGGTCTAGCCTTATCGCTATTTCTAGCTACAACGCGTATGTACTTCAACTCCCTTTGAAGGCTCTTATCAAGATAGCACTGATCGAAGAAAACAGACATTTCCCAAGTCGACCAATAAGAATCCAACCTGTCGTTTCCGTGGTCTCAATGAGAACTGCACAGGCTGTAGTTCGATCTCCCCTCGTTCACGACCACTTTGACAGACGTATGCCTGCGATGAGATAGCACACGTCAATCGACCACATCCAGCGAACCCACCTGGCCTCCCTTCCCAGTGGCAAACATAGAGTCAGTCCTATGTATCATCAGCTCAAGGTCGTCAGCATTTACAGATGGCAGAATGACCAGATGGCGCGGTCGTAACCTCGCCAACAGCTCGTGCCTACACCGATGTAAGCACCGTAGAGCAGACATGACAGACTACCTGTGCTGGGGAGTAGCGAGGCCGTCAATGCCGTTGCCCGGAGCCATCAGTTTAACCTTGCAGCCGACTCGAATCACACGTTCACGCGTCTCGACCATCTTGGGCTCTCCAAAGCGAACTTGGAGATCTCGTCGCCAATCAAAACTGTCGTGGTCGTCCGTGCCAGGGGCTGCATTGGGATCAGCCTAATGACACAGCGCACACAGGCTCTACTGGTAGTGCTAGTATGCGAAAATATGCAAATATGATAAAATTTCGGGAAAATTCTTCTCCTACCCAAATTCGTATACAAGCTCCTAGTGAGGAAACTCACGAGCTCAGCTGAGGAAAGCAAACATATATTCCTACTCCAACACTGGTTGATGCTCTCGATAGGACTATTCACCGACATACCTTCATTCGCTGATGCCCATCATCCTCCCCAATATCAGCCTTCAGCTCGTCCTTAGCGACCTTCATCTGTTGTTTAACGCGGAAATCTAACAACCTCATTTGTATCTTTCACAGTTGAACCTAAGATATGCTTACGTCCATGAGGCTCATCCTTCATCTCCTTCTTATCCGGATAGTCGTCATGATACCACCCCTTCCGGAAGCGCTTCATCCTCATAAAATCAGACTCCGCATGAGCTCGCCAAGAGTCAATTACGCTACTGTCCAATCGAACACCGTACCTGCCATGGTGACACCCTACATGCCTATCGTGTCACCACTCTTTTCCAATCACATTAATCTCAGACTAAACGGACACGGTTCTGACTCATCGAGGCAAGAGTATTAGAGAGAGCGTATTGACGGGTAGTCTAAAATCCCATCCAAGGCATACCCGTATAGCGCGGTCATCACGAAGCTCACCCCCCAAACTTCCGTCACTGCGCCACGAAATTCCCCCTCTACCCATACAGCTTACTCGTCCGCCATCTGGGCTCCTCCAGCAGCTACTCCTCCAAGCTCCTCATCATCATCAACCCCTCCTGTTCCTCCTCCTCCCATAGCCCCTCTTCCTCCACCACCTGTCGCCGCTCCAGCACTCCCCCCTCCACTAGCCGAAGGCGCTGCAGCTGTCTGCGAGTAGAACATGCCTGAGAAAAACCAATACCACACCTGGTCCCGTGCAAGCTCTACAGAAGTGTCTCATGCATACGTATTCATGTTTGTCACACGCCACAAAAATCAAGTGTAAGTTTGCTGATATTTATTCATCTCTAACACAGCCAAGACTCCGACGATACGCACCCAGTACGGTATAAGCCCTGCCCTCACAAATAATACTACTCCCCTGAGTGGTATCAGAACCCGTAACACGTCACTTACCGGGTCTGAAGAAGCCATTTACTTGTCCGCCCTCCACGTCATACACCGATGCTTGGTTTTTGCTCTCCAATGATATCAAAGCAGTACCCGAGCCCCCACCCTCTCCCTCGTTATTCTTAGCACTCGCCTGACAATATCAAATACAAACAAATATCTCTGCTAAGAACTCGTCCGAGTACTAGCCCAGTTTTCTGCAGCATTTGCTTAGCCATGCCCTCCGCGTAGCTCTCCGCCATACTCTGCTGCTGGCGCCTCGCCACCGCTGCCTTCTGGGCCGCCATCTTCTCGCGACGATCACGCTCTTTCCGACGACGCCTCATCGCAAGCTACCAACAATGCTGCGTCACTCGCCACGAAATTACCCCATTACCTCCTCCTGGGACTCCCTTGCCAGACTCTCCCTATAGACCTCACGAAGCTGTTCATCCGTGTAGGAGCTCTTGATATACTGCGTCTCCCGATACGTGACGGGTTCTGACAACATACTACTGTTGGGAAAATTTCGAGGTAATTTTTGGAAATTTTTCTCGGTTTCCATACATTTCTACCCAAGTCCACGAGTAATCATCCATACTTGGTGGAAAAAAACTCCCCAACTCAGCCGAGGAAACCAAACACATATTGCAACAATAGGTTGACCCTGTACAATGCAACGGCAGTTTGGAGCGCAGCAACCTCCTACCGTTGGGGTTTTCAGGCCTCTCCACAACGAAGTCATGTATGACCCTCTGTGCGAGGCAGTCTCGATAGGCAACATCAGACGTAGTGAATATGACTGTACTGTTGGGGTCGCCACACATACGACAGAATATTTCCCTAGCATCCCCGATCTCCAAGGACGCACTAGATGCCAAAACAACCTAAAACCACTCCTCACCGCATACGTCCTTTCCCGCTGCTCACCTTGGGCTTTCGCGCCGGGTAGTTCTGGGCGAAATCTTGAAAGCTGGAGCACAGCTGAACATGTTGGAAGAGGAAGGGATGGTACATGAAGCCCATCGACGTATCGAAGTCGTTATGAACCTAAAAGGATTAATGCTGTTATTTATGATTGCTTTCACCACCTGATACAAACCCAGATACAAATGCACAGAAACTAACCACAATTTTCATGTACTTGACCATGTGCATATTTTTTCAACACTAATGATGGTAACAGCCCACCCACCACTCTGCTCATCCACTCCATCCTTATCTTGATCTGATCGAGTACCACGTCCCCGAGTGGCGACACATACACTACAGGGTAGACCTACACATATTATGGATCAAATCTACTCTGCTTATAAGCCTACCTGCAGGCCGGCATCAGCAGCCCATGCGGCCTCAAGGAGCAACAGCAACTCCAACACACGACCTGAGCATAAGCAGGTTTATGATATCAAAGGCAATGGCATGAGCGTCCAACCTGTTGAACAACAATCCACTGGTAACAACACTGTACCATCCTTCCTCAGAGACCTTAGCACCATCCCTAGCAGAGCCTCCTCGGCCTGAGCATAGCGCCTGTTAGACCTGACCACAACAACCGCTTCCACACAATGCTCTCAGTACTATTATTACTACCTCGAAGCTGTAATCCCAGCATCATAAGTCCTCCTACTCTCCGTCGCTACATTACTTGTAGCGCCCTGACCAGCACACGTTACTGCACCCTCCACCGCTGGAGGCATCGTATTAGTGATCAATACGCTAGGCGGTGCCTGAGCTCCCAAGTACCACCACCACGCACCTCCCTCCCTATCCTCCTACCTGCTCCGGCGGCGGCAACTCCATACCATTCAAATGCCTATCCCCAGCCATTTGATAATCCACAGCATATACCATACTTTGCGAGCCGACATCAATCCTCCAATAAGCTCCGCCCAGCATCCTCCCAGCAGGTAAAGGGGTGAACCTCACAGTCGGCCCTTTCGCATTGGCCCCAGCATCGCCTCGCATGGTGAACATGACGCCCTCCCCATACTGCAAAGGCGTCACTGCTCCATTAAAAGCCATAATAGTGTCATCGATGGTCAACAACCAGTCGTTAGTAGTCGTCACCGCATCCCTCATCTGTCAAGACCAGCTCGAGCTCAGCCAAAACAATCCCAACCGTAAGGCGACCACTTCCTAGCGGTTTGGGAATATATGTACACAGTCAACAACATGTGACGGTAGGAATGTGAAAATTCCGAGGAAATTTCGGAAAAAAATATCCTATTTTTTGTATACTTCTACCCAAATCGTGCGTGAATTTGCATAATGTAGTAAGGAAACTTCCGAGTTCAGTTTCGAAAACCAAACATATATCCCCACACTGCTTCCTATCAGTGCGAGTCGTCCAGGCTTCTATTACCTTATCTATGTCCTCATGCAGTGCCGTGAGGGTGAGCTCACCAAGACGCCTCACAGGCTCTGTCGCCAGTACCATGGCCCCATTCGATGGTTGATTGCTGTTCTTGCTGCTACTACTACTAGCAGCAGCATCAGCCTCCCCAACAGGGGGAGGGGCTACAGCGTATTGGAGTTTCTTAGGCCTCAAGTGGCAATACACGTAGGGCCATGCACCGCAATGCTGCAGATCCGCGAAGGATAACAGACACACGTCGATCTGATAGAAAAACAGTAAAATCAACC